GGGGAAAATGGGGGAAAATGGGGAAATATAATGAGAAATAATGAGGGAAATAATGGGGAAAATGGGAAAAATGGGGAATAGTAGGGGGAAAATGGGGGAAAATGGGGAAATATAATGAGAAATAATGAGGGAAATAATGGGGAAAATGGGGGAAAATGGGGAAATATAATGAGAAATAATGAGGGAAAATTGGGAAATAATTGGGGAATTATGGGGGGAAACAGGACATTGGAGAATAATGGGGAAAACTGGGTGAAAACCAGGAAAAAATGGGAAATGTAATGGAATGAGGGTGGCAGAATGGGGGAATTATGGGGGAAAATGGGAAATAATGGGGGAAAACCAGGAGAAAATGGGAAAAATGGGAGATGGAATAACGGGGAAGAGTGGGGAAATAATGAGGGAAAAGAGGAAAAGATAGGAAGTGTAACTGGGAATAATGGGGGGAAAGCTGGGGAAAAACAGGGTGGAATGTGGGAATTTTGGGAAATTTGGGAAATTTGGGAATTGTGGAATGTCTCATGGGCACAGTGCAGGTGCCAGGCTGGGAAAAAGGATGGGAAATGGAAAAAATGGGGAAATATGGGAATGCTGGGGGGAAATTTGGGAAATTTGGGAATTGTGGGAATGTCTCACAGGCACAGTGCAGGTGCCAGGCTGGGAAAAAGGATGGGAAATGGAGAAAATGGGGAAATATGGGAATGCTGGGGGGAAATTTGGGAAATTTGGGAATTGTGGGAACGTCTCACCGGCACAGTGCAGGTGCCAGGTTGGCAAAGGGGAAAAATGGGGGGAAAAGGGATGGGAGATGGAAAAAATGGGGAAATATGGGAATGCTGGGGTGAAATTTGGGAATTGTGGGAACGTCTCACGGGCACAGTGCAGGTGCCAGGCTGGGAAAAATGGGGGAAAAGGGATGGGAAATGGAAAAAATGGGGAAATATGGGAATGCTGGGGGGAAATTTGGGAAATTTGGGAATTGTGGAATGTCTCACGGGCACAGTGCCAGGCTGGGAAAAATGGGGGAAAAGGATGGGACATGGAAAAATGGGGAAATATGGGAAATATGGGAATGCTGGGGTGAAATTTGGGAAATTTGGGAATTGTGGAATGTCTCACAGGGACTGTGCAGGTGCCAGGCTGGGAAAAATGGGGGGAAAGGGATGGGAAATGGAAAAAATGGGGAAATATGGGAATGCTGGGGGGAAATTTGGGAATTGTGGGATGAACTCTCACAGGGACTGTGCCAGGCTGGGAAAAATGGGAGGAAAGGGATGGGAGATGGAAAAAACGGGGAAATATGGGAAATATGGGAATGCTGGGGGGAAAATTGGGAATTGTGGGAATGTCTCACAGGCACCGTGCAGGTGCCAGGTTGGCAAAGGGGAAAAATGGGGGGAAAATGAGATCAGAGGTGGAAAAAAAGCTGGAAAAGCGGGGGAAAGGGGGGCGCGGTGGGAATTGCGGGAATTCCGGGAATTCCGGGAATTTCCGGAGCGCCTCACAGGAGCAGCGCAGGTCGCGGGCGGCGTGCAGCCCCTGGATGCGCAGCTGGAAGACGGAGTGGGAGCGCGAGGAGCGCTCGTTGAGCGCCGTGCGCGCCACCGAGCGCTGCGAGCCCGCCCGCTGCAGCAGCTGCAGCACCTGCGGCGGGAATGGCGCGGGATAACGGCGGGAATG